TGCCTTCTGCTCAATAAACGAGGCTTGATCAGACTCCTGTCTTGCCTCCATTTCTCGCGTCTCTTGCCCCTCTTCATTCCCAGTCCCTTTCTCAGGTATCCACGTTGTTTGATGACCCGCGGGATGGGTCAGATCCTCTAGCTGGGGCTCAAAGCATTTCCCATAGCTTACATCCCAGTCTGACTGTTGTTCATCGTCTTCATTTTGATGCTCGCAGTCTCGTGTCGCTTCTATAGGAAGCTAAGAGATATGAAAAAAGACCACGTTACCTCTGTGGCACTAATGAATCTTAAACAATACAGAAGGGGGAAATGTGGGATACTAATACTGAGGGAAATAAGACTGGGACTTATTCCCTAACTGGTGTGGAGGAAATCTGGAAAACCAGTATTTCACGGTAGGAAGACCGCCACTCTGGTCGTTGGAGATATACTACAAGTACATTTTACTGCAGTAGTCTATCATTTCCACAGATTCTCCCCTAAAAGCTTTGCTGCCTTAAAGTGAGCAAGCACATGGTTGATTCTATCTCCCTATAGAAGCAAACATTCCTCTTTGGTCTATCTCTTCCTGCCGCAGCATCCAATCCTTCTCATACCTTCCCCCAATAGTAGATGGGCATAGAGGGACTTTATCCCCCATTGCCTGGATTCAGATATTTTCCATAAGCCTGAATTTTTGGCTTAGCTGTATTAATTTGGTCATTAAATTTGCCTTGACAGCTTTCAATGTATAGAAAATAACCGTGTAGCCACTGTAGCTCTTTTGAATTTTTTTTTTTTTACATGTGGAAGCAAGAGCTTTATATCAAGAGGTAATTAGATGTTAGGAAAACATCCCAACCCAGTCCAGATCAGTGATACTAGTCCACAAATCCCTCTTCAGACTCATGCGACCACACGCAATGATGCAGAATGTAGGAAGATCACAGGCCACTGGGTGAAAAGTCTTGTGTCTCCAAAGGCCGTGGCTGCATCTCCAGAGCTCCTACAGGTCTCCACAAGTCTCATTCACAAGAAGGTGAAGGCAGAGAGAGGGGAGCTTCCCAGAACCTTCCTTATGAGGAGGTCACACCCACAAGGAGGCACCATCCGGCTGAGACCTCATTTGGCAGGCTAGATGGCACCCCTACAGTTCATGTTGACATGACACAAAATCATGTCGCTACCACAGCTGCAATAGGAGCCCTGTGTTAGCTGCCATTGGGCGCTGGTGGTGGTGTGGGCTGTGTGTTGGGCTGTCAATCACAAGGGCAGGCTTAAAAACCCATCAGCTGAACTGTGGAAGATGGATGAGGTTTTCTGCACCCATGAAGATTTTCTTTCTTTTTTTTTCTAATCATTTTATTAGGGGCTCATACAACTCTTATCACAATCCATACATACATCAATTGTGTAAAGTGCACTTGTACATTCATTGCCCTTGAATTTAATATATAAAACAATAAAAGGAATTGTGAGAAACAGAAAGATTTCTCCCAAGTTGTCTCTCCCAGATATATGCCAAACCCAAGACGCTGCTTGCTACACATGGCAAATGACTGCACACTAGGAGGTCAACGAAAGTAGGTCAGGGCTTATTCTCTGTATAGTCTGACCACACCCTTCTGATATTGTTCCCTTGAAGAAGTGCCCAAAAGCAAGGCAGGGACCACTCAAGGATGACTAAGTTTAGGCTACTATATTGGGTCTAGATCAGGGAGGGAATATATATGTACCCCTATTCCCTCCCTGAACTGTGTGTACACCCCTAGGTCATCCCCCTCCTATTGCTTGTATTGACTGTGTTACAATATGATGTACATTGTTATCTGTAATCATAGGGCTTGCATGGCCCCAAAGATATATAAGCTTTGGTTAGAAATAAAAACTCACGAGAGCTCTCTCCTGCCTTTTTGTCCCCCACTTCCACATGTACCACCAAGAGGAGCTGAGGTGAGCAGGCTACCATGAAAGGTGTCTGACTTCTTTATTTTACTCTCTCTCTCTCCCATCTCTCCCATTTCCCTATGGCTTTACTATAATGCTTATATTTATTTTTTTATCATTTTATTAGGGGCTCATACAACTCTTATCACAATCCATGCATACATCACTTGTGTAAAGCACATTTGTATATTTATTGCCCCTATCATTCTCAAAACACCTGCTCTCCACTTAAGGCCCTGGCATCAGGTCCTCATTTTTCCCCCTCCCTCCCTGCTCCCCACTACCTCATGAACCCTTGGTAATTTACAAACCATTATTTTGTCATATCTTGCCCTGTCTGTTGTCTCCCCTCGCCCACTTTTCTGTTGTCCATCCCCCAGGAGGAGGTCACATGTAGATCCTTGTAATCGGTTTCCCCTTTCCAACCCACCCTCCCTCTACCCTCCCAGTATCAGTAGAATTGGGATCATGATAGTAGGGGGCGGGGAAGCACTTAGGAACTAAAGTTGTATATTTCATAGTTGCTACATCGCACCCTGTCTGGCTCGCCTCCTCCCCAAGACCCTTCTGTAAGAGGATGTCCAGTGGCCTACTAATGGGCTTTGGGTCTCCACTCCGCACCCCTCCCCCGCATTCACTATGGTAAGATTTTTTTTTGTTCTGATGATGCCTTATACCTGATCCCTTCGACACCTTGTGATCGCACAGGCTGGTGTGCTTCTTCCATGTGGGCTTTATTGCATCTGAGCTAGCTGGTCGCTTGTTTACCTTCAAGCCTTTAAGACCCCAGACGCTATATATTTTGATAGCCGGGCACCATCAGCTTTCTTCGCAATGTTTATATTTCTTAACTGTACAATTGTGCCTATCGATCCTGTGATTAGCTGTGGGGGGCTGGCTACTGCCACAGCTAACCACAAGGTCAGCAGTTTGAAGTTACCAGCCACTCCAAGGAAGATGCAAGTTTCTACTCCTGGAAAGACTGGCCATCTTGGAAACCCACAGGGGCAGCTCTAGTCTGTCCTACAGAGTCCCTCGGAGTCAGAACCAGCTTGACGGCAGTGAGCTTGTGGTGTTCTTTGTTTCCAAGACAAGCTCAAGGTCTCCCTTCTCTGGCTGACCCAGACCTTTGACAATGCAGTTCCACTCCAAAACAGCCAGACCTTTAGTGCAGATTTGGGTACAGAAAGGACCAACAAGCATATAGAAAAAAAGGGGGGGGCATGATTTGAGAGGCCACAGGAAAGAAGTGGTTAAGAGGCTTTTACATGTATGAAAAGAAGCTCCAGCTTATTAGAAGAGAAATGGGAATTACAACTGCATCAAGACGCCACCTCTTACTTACCGGAATGCACAAATCCATACACCTGCATCCGGATCATTAGTGAAGCTCCTGAAAAACAAGCCCTCTTCACATTGCCAGTGCCAACGTAAACTAATACAATCATATGGAGGCAGATTTATCAATATCAGAATTAGAAATCACCCAGCAACCCTATTGCTGGCAAAGTTTTAATGCAGCAATGCTGGCATTTCAGGTGTCCATGTAAGGAGACTGGGTTAAACAAATTATAGTACATACTTGGAAACCCCAGGTCTAATCGCCGAAGGCCACGCCTCCCTTGGGGACCTAACAAACTAATCCACTGCAGCAGGCCGCTTCCGGCAGCCAGCTTTTTTTTTTTTTTCTTTTAAAGAAAGACAGCAACTCTTAAACAAGCCTTTTTCATAAAAAAGGAATCTGCATCCACAGGTCATGTATCTAAGAAAGTTAATTTAGCTAGTTAATTTGCAGTCGGCATGCACACTAACGTGAGCACTACTTTTCCAATCTTAGCGATCCCAGAACTTGATCATTTATTTCCAAGCGGGGCTTTAGGCAGCCCTGGGTAGCTGCTAACCCGAGGTCTGAAAACGCTGTGGCAGTCTGCTTCCGGAAAGATCTACGGTCTCCAGAGGATGGACACTGGTACAGATAGGAACTGGAAACACAGGGAATCCAGGACCGATGATCCTTTCAGGGCCAGCGGTGAGGGTGGTAATACCGGGAGGGTGGAGTTGAAAGGGGGAACCGATTACAAGGATCTACATATAACCTCCTCCCTGGGGGATGGACAACAGAAAAGTGGGTGAAAGGAGACGTGGACAGTTCAAGATACTACAAAATAATAATTTATAAATTATCAAGGGTTCGTGAGGGAGGGAGGATGGGGGGCTTGGAGGGAGGGGAAAAATGAGGAGCTGATACCAAGGGCTCAAGTAGAAAGCAAATGTTTTGAGAATGATGATAGCAACAAATGTACAAACGTGCTTGACACAATGGATATATGTATGAATTGTGATTTGTAAGAGCACCCGATAAAATGATTTTTAAAAAGAAAACGACTTACGGTCTCGAAAACCCTATAGGGCAAATTTCACTGACCCATAGGGTCGCTGTGAGTCGGAATCCACTGGGTAGCATGGGTTTGAAGCGGCGCGGGGGTTAAGCGCTCCGCTCGGCTGGGGGTTGGTGAGGACACCTGGGGGGTTTGCAGCCAGCGGTTGCTCCGCGGGAGAAAGACGTGGCAGCTTGCTTCCTGAAAACACAACCGTGGACACCTTACGGCGCAGTTCTACTCGGTCGTTTCGGATTCGACCTTACCGCACGGGGCTTGGGTTTAGTGAGCTCGGTCTTAACGCTCTGCCCCCTCACGGAGCTGGACTTCTGACGTCACACAGTAGCTAACTAAGCTGCCATCGAGTCGATTCTGTCTGCTGTCTCCATGCAGGGAAAATATATTTCCCATTCGAAAGGAAAAAGCACTTCTCTTGCTTTTCTACCCTCAAAGCATCCAGTCGCGGGAGGCGGCGCGCAGAGCCCGCTCCCCAGAACACCGCCCACCCGCGGGGGGGGGGGGCGGGAGCCCGATTGGTTTGAGCGGCGGTCAAGGGCAGCGCGGCCTTCCGCGAGCAGCGAGCGCTGATTGGCTGCTCGAGACCCACCCTCCTTCCCGGGTTGGCCCGCGCGGCGCAGCCAGTGATTGGTGCTGTCGCGGAGCGCTCGGAGCTCCGCTCTAGCTGCCAGGCAGAGATGGCGACTGCGGCTTGGCGTCTGGGCTCCTCGTTCGCAAAGTGGGGACTCAGGCCCCTGGTGGCTCCGCTCGCGGGTCTCGTGTCCCAGCGGGCCTTCTCGGTGCTGCCCGTCGACGACGCGATCAATGGGCTAAACGAGGAACAGAAGCAGGTAGGCAGATGGACCCTCCTCCCGAAGGCCTCCTGCCTAGGCCACTTCGGCCTTGCTGACCTCGCCGTGCTAAGCGGTGACGGGAGTCCCTGGGACTCAGGTGGCAGCAGGAAGGCACTCTCTGGCTTTAACCGCCTCTGTGGAGCAATGATTTGGGGGGGCGGGGTGGGGGGGGCGAGAGAAGCGAAGAAAGCTGCTGGGAATGGGTGGTGCCTGCATGACCCGACTGGCAGGAGCTGTGGGCGCTGGCAACCCGAGCCAGTCTAGCCCGGACCCACTCAGGTTAGGTCCGTGTGTGCAGCGTAGAACAGCTTCATAGCGCTTTAAGGGAGTGACCTTTCGGAAGCAGATCTCTCAGGGCTCTCTCCTGAGGCACTTTTGGGGTGGGTTTGATGAATTAGTTAGTAATGGAGCACTTAACCATTTGGGCCACCTAGGGACTCCTGAAGGTGGCAGAAGGGTCTTTAAGCAACCTGAAGGCCACTTGTAACTGAACACTCACTGGCTATGGCTCAGTTTCCTAAACCTGGTTGACCATGATCACCAGGGAATCCTTTTGGCTCACACCCCTGGTAAGGTTCCAAAACGCACCGAAGACCTGCTATTTATCATTAGCCCACTGTATGAAGGCACAGAGCGTGACAAGAAATTGCAATGGGATGTGTGTGTGCCCATGGCACTGGTCCTCAGCCTTTCCTGACTGGGTGGGCATCCCAGGGAATAGGATGTTCCTATGGCACTAAGTTATGTGAGCCTTTCATGCGCTTCTAAGCTCGTGATCCAAACCAAACCTCTGTCGCTGAGTCGATTCCAACTCACAGCAACCCCCAGGACAGAATAGAACTGCTCCGTAGGGTTTCCCAGGCTATATTCTTTACGGAAGCAGACTGCCCTGTCTTTCTACCGACAAGCAGCTGGCGCATTTGAATTGTAGACCTGTTTGCGGCAGAGTGCTTTAATCACGCACCACTGGGTCTTCTTGCACCTCAATTAACTCAAAAGGCCCAACTCTGCCATCGACTCATAGCGACCCTGTAGGACAGGGTAGAACTGCACCTGTGAGTTTCCAAGGCTGGAACTCTTTTCCAAAGGTACTACCATGGAGTCGATGCTGGCTCATAGCAACCATGCAGGTCAAGATAGAACTGCCCCTGTGGGTTCCCGATACTGTAACTCATTACTGGGGTAGAAAGCCTCATCATTCTCCCACCTGGCAGCTATGGTTTTGAACTGTTGACCTTGCAGTTATCAGCCCAATTCTTCACCTCTCAGCCACCCAGGCCTCCTGCATTAGTCCACCTTTGATCAGGGGATTAAAATCCACACCAGCTAACAGGAGAATGCATACATATCTGAGGGGGCTTTAAGGAGTGGAATGAATCCATGACGCTCACCTTCCTGACATAATTGCTGAAGACAAATGTGTACATAAGCAATTGTGGTGAAGAAAGTTGATGGTGCCCGGCTATCAAAAGATATAGCGTCTGGGGTCTTAAAGGCTTCAAGGTAAACAAGCGGCCATCTAGCTCAGGAGCAACAAAGCCCACATGGAAGAAGCACACCAGCCTGTGTGATCACGAGGTGTGGATGGGTCAGGTATCAGGAATCAAAGAACAAAAAATCATATCATTGTGAATGAGGGGGAGTACAGATTGGGGACCCAAGCTCATCTGTAGGCAACTGGATATCCCCTTACAGAAGGGTCTCGGGAGGAGATGAGCCAATGAGGGTGCAGTGTAGCAACGATGAAATATACAACTTTCCTCTAGTTCTGCAATGTTTCCTGCCCCCCACCATCATGATCCCAATTATACCTTACAAATCAAGCTAGACCAGAGGATGTACACTGGTACAGATAAGAACTGGAAACACAGGGAATCCGGGACAGATAAACCCCTCAGGGCCAATGAGAGTAGCGATACCAGGAGGGGAAGAGGAAGGTGGGGTAGAAAAGGGAAACACGGTCCGCGGGATTCGGGCCCTCAGAAATTAAAATGGCTTCCAGAGGAAAGATCGAGACAAGCAAATTAAAGCAGAACTTAGAAGCACAGTTGGATCGGCTAAGGCAGCAGTTACAAGATCTAGAGGAATGCAGAGAGGAACTTGATCCAGAGGAACATGAAGAAACCGAAAAGGAAACCCGGGAGCAGCTGAGTGAACTGAACGAGTCACTGAAGAAAATCATGTCTGGAAATATGATGTTGGTAGATGCACTAAGTGGGATGCAACTGGCTCTTCAGGCAGCTATCAGCCAGGCCTGTAAAACTCCAGAGGTCAGCAGGTTGTTGGCAAAGCAACAACCAGGCCAGCTCCGGACAAGGTTAGCAGAGATGGATCGAGATCTGATGGTGGGAAAGCTGGAAGGAGACCTGCCAGGCAACAGAAAGTGGAGATCCCACAGCTCTCAGGAAACTTGGAGAGAAGCGAAGCCTTCTTGTCAGCGACTGCAGGTGCCATCCTCAGCCAGTTTGAGAGTCTCCAGACCTTGGCTCTGGAGACAAAGTCCTTGCTTTGGCGAGTTTTGATGTTGAAAAAACAAAAAATTGATGTGGTGTGGAATCTTGGGCCAATGATCACATTCTTGGGAATGACATTTTTCTTCTGAGGACATTAAGTCTTTGCAAAGGAATCAAGAGATTCTTGAACTACAATAATAACTTATGAAGACGTGACATAAAAATGTGCTGGTGCCTTCAGTTGATGCCTTTCATCGCTGGGTTTTGTGTCAGGCTACCTTTGTGAGTGACCCTGCCCTTGTTGGTACGGAAGGATTCACTGGTCCTTGTTCATTATGATTTGTCTGTTTAAGAGAGAGCAAAGAAAATGCGGTTTCTCTTCCTGAACTTATTAGGCTGCTTGTTGGCAAGGGCTGATAGCAAATGAAGAGATGTCAACTAAAGGTTCTCTTCTGCTGACAACTTTACTCCTGGTACTGAACAGTGAGTGGCGCAACGTCAATAGACCGCTCGTGTGTTCTTCTATAGAACTTTATAGAGTTCTAAGTGACCTTAGAAATCATTTTTCACTGTACAAACAAGGAAACTGAGGCTCACAAAGAACAAATGACTTATTTAACATCACCTTACAGCTGAGGATCAGACCAGTCCTAACTCTCAATTTAGTGCTCATTTAGTTTTTATTTTGTTAAACTGTTTTTTTTT